GCTACAGTCTTACCTTTTCTGTTTCTTTTTCCCTTTTTAAATTAGTTATTTACTTTTATTTGTAATTATTATTATTTTTTTAAATTTGACCAAAAAGATAGAGGGAGATAGAAAGGGAAAGTGAGAAAGCAAGCTGCCGGGTCCAGGATTCAAACCATGGTCAGCCACATGGGAGTCCAGCGCCCCAGTCACCATGCCACCTGCCGGCCCCATTACCTTTTCTACTTCTAAAACCCAGACAACATCCAGTCTCATGGGCTTCTTTCTTTCAACATAATGTTTTTGAGGTTCATGTTATTACGTGGATGTACAACTCATTTGTGTGCGTGTGTTCTAGGGTTCATGCACTTGCCAGAAAGAGACAGAGAGGGAAAGTAAGAAAGCCCTCCCTGGAGGGGATGGCGCATTGTAATCTCTTCTCTGGTCTCCTCAGAGGATTTCTGGTACACATGCACATGTACCCAGCATGGTTTTCAATCTGCCAGGTTCAGGATTCAAATCGCAGTCGGCCCCATGGGATCCAGCCACCTTAAGCTCCGCGTCACTGGCAGGCCCCCGCAGGTCTTTTTCATTGCTAAACAGTACCCCATAGATTTATCGTGGTTTGTTCAAGCGTCAAAGAAAAATGTGCTTGTAGTTTTGGACTGTCACGGATAGTGAACATTTGTGTACATGCTGATGTGCTTTATGTATGTATGTATGTACGTATGTTTTTGCCATAGGGTGTGTGTGTTTGCCAGAGACAGACAGAGAGAGGGAAAGTGAGAAATCGCTCTTCAGGGGGGATGGCCATACCGCTGTCCCCTCTTCTCAGCATTTTGGCCTTGCACACACGTGTGTGGTGTGATTTTCAAGCTGTTGGGTCTACAACTCGAGCCATAGGCAGCCACGTGGGAGTCCAGCCCCTAACTGAATGTGGGGTCACGCCACCTGCACCCAGTGTGTGTTTCTGTATCTCCCGCCTGGTCCCCGGGACTGGGTGTGCTGGTTTGTACGGTCAGCGCTAGTTTAACTCCCCGAGGAACTGTGGTGTCTTCCAGGTGGCTGCACTGTATTCCATGCCCAGGGTCGTCCCTCGTACTGATCAGGGCTGTCCTTGTGGGTCGAAGTGGCATCTCTTTATGGCTTTAACTTGCCTTTCTATGGGAGGGTTCCCAGCCAGATTGTCCATCATGTGGGTAGATGAGACCTGGGAACCGGCTAGTTGTGGGTTCAGATCACACCTGGCATCAGTGAATCAGCTCAGACGGGCTGGAAACCCTGACTCCGCTGACCCCTCGACCTGGGAGAGCCAACCCAGGCCTGAGCAGGGGGGTCTGTGCTGGCTGGCCTCACTCCCCAGCCCACCCTCCCCCAGACGCTGCCTGGGATACCCACCTGGCTTGACTGCCTCAGTCTCAGCCCTGGGGTCTCACCCAAACCTGAAAAGCAGCCCGTTGGGGCCAGCAGGTGGCATGGTGATTAAGGGGCTAGACTTCACATGGCTCACCATGGTTCGAATCCTGAACCTGCCTTCTCACTTTCCCACTCTCTGGTGGGACACGTGCCCTATGGCATATTTAAAATAATAATAATAATAAAATGAGATAAATAATAATTTTTAAAAACCCATAAAACTCCTTGGGGAGGAGTCACTGTCCCCCTCCCCAGCCGCTGTCGTGTCCCCTGCCGGTTTCCAGATCGAGCTTTCCATTTGCCTTCCCTGATGATTCTGTTTACCACTCTGCGGGTTCTCCCCTGGGCCTACAGCCTGGGCAGGCAGGGCCCAGAGCTGGGTGGCCTCTGCTGACACCCCGCCCGGCCCAGGCCCTGACGCACAGCAGACACATGGGAAATAATGGTTTTCAACACAGGAAGTGTTTTCTGTCTGAGACCAGAATTCGCAATATGGCCCTTGGGTCAAGAGGTGAAGTAACGTGCCCCAGGTACCACAGCCAAGACCCTTGGGACCAGGCCCACAGCTGGGGTCCGTGCGGTCTTACCATGGGGCTGTCCTGCACCTGCACAGGAAAGAGCTCTGGCTGGTGAAGGCCAGGAGGTAGCAAAGGGCCATGTGTGACGAGCCCTGGCCCCTCTGTGGCAGCCCCATCTGGTCGTGGAAGCCTCTGGCCCTGCGCTGGGGGTGTTGGGCGTTGGCTGTCTTGTGTGTGAGGAAGACAGGACATTGCAGAGGAGAGGTCTTAGGCGGTGGCGCCATGGGGGGTGTCGGGGTGGCTGGAACATCCATGCAGGCCGTTCAGAGTGCTGGCAGGGAGTCCCCGTCGCAGTCCTCGACTCCATGGGTGTTTATCACACCCCCGCCTGCGCTGGCCCTGAGCTGGGTTGAGACGTGATGGCCCTAGGCCTGCCTCTGAAAGCCTTGGGGGGGCGGGGGGACAACTGGGAGGAGGGATGAGGACAAGTGCAAGAAGGGCAGGTAGAATGTGCCCGTCTCGGGCCCTCCAGACCCCACATTCAGTCTCTGGTTCTGCGTTTCTGTGTCTGAGTGAAGACTCTTCCTCCGGGAAGCCCTGCCTGCCTCCCTCGCCTGCGTCCCCACGCCTTGTTCCCCGCCGCTGTCATCTTGCTGCTTCAGCCATCCTTCCTGAGTGATGTGGCAAGTGGCGTCGCCTCTCTGAGCCTCCGGTTGCTCGGCCGCCCAGCGGAGCTGTTCCTTGCTCTGGCCTCCCAGCGAGGGCCCGGTGTCCTGTGGCAGACACCCCCTCGTGCTCCCTGCTCACATGGCAGTCTTCCTGGTGAGGCGTTTCTGTGTCCACCTTGCCTGCAGGAGGGCAGGGGTGGGTACAGAGAAGCCTCAGGAATCTCGGCCCAGGGAAGGACCTTCCAGATAAACCTGGCCCCTGCCAGGAGACCCCTTCTGTTGTCGTCCCCAGTAGCCACCTCCTTGCATCCTGGCTCTTGACTGACTGTGTCCCCCACCTTCCACTCCTGTTGCCACCTTTACCGCCATGGCCACCCTCACACCGCCAGCTTGGACGCATCCTGTGGAAGCTGCCTCTGACCGTAGGTTGGACCAGGCATTCCCTCTGGGCTCCTGCATCCCAGCCCTGCACAGTGTGGATGGTCACTGTCTAGAGACAGACCTGCCCTCCCAGCTAGACTGTTGAGCCCCAGGAGTACAGCACTGGACTGTCTGGGTCACACTGTGTCCCCACACAGAGGTGGCTCTGGGAGTGTTTTCCTCCTGAAGGAAGAAGACCCACCACCCTTACTTTCTAGTTGGTGATCCAGCACCTGTTCTGTGCTCACCTCGTGCTAGGTGGAGCCTCAGCCCTGGAGTCTCAGGCCCCATTCTCCCTCCTCACCCTGGCCTCTGTCCCCACAGGTGACCAGCAATGGCAGCATTGGGAGGGACCCGCCGGCGGAGACCCAGCCCCAGAACCCACCACCCCAGCCAGCACCCAACGCCTGGCAGGTCATCAAGGGCGTGCTGTTCAGGTGAGAGAGGGCTCTTGGTTTGTTGAAGAGGCCATCAAATGCGGAAAGCAGGAGGAGGAAAGAAAAGGCCACCGGGCTGATCACTGCTCTCGTGTTGGTGGAGTCTGTTTTATTTTGTATGATAGAATTTTTAAAATAATTATTTATTTAACTTTATTTGTTATCATTATTTTTTAATTTACCAGACAGAGATGGTGGGTGTGGCCACCGCCTCCCTTGCTCTGTCTTCACAACTCGAACTACTTGAGCTAGTGCGTCTAAGTGCAGCCTACAGCCTCTGTCCTCTTGTGACTGGCCAGTGGTCACATGGATTTTCGTGCCCACTCCTGAGCAGTGGGGACACAGGGCTGACTTTCTGAAAGCCCAGCTCTGTCTGAGGCCCTGGGGAGATGCTGGGTGGGAATGAGGGGATGTACCTTGGTGCTGGCTTCTGTCCCTGCCTGCCTAAACTTGGTAGCTGTTTGCTTTCTTTCTCTGGCCCCTTGTTTCTGTTTTAAACTATGCTATAGGGCACATATGCTTGCTTGAGTTGGGGGAAAGTGAGAAAACACCTTCCCAGGGGCAGGAGATGGCCACACCGTGATCCTGTCTCCTCCAGTGTCTTCTCAGAATTTTGAACACACATGCATATGCACCTGGCATAGTTTTCAAACCCTGAGTCTCAGACTCAAACCATGCAGTCAGCCATGTGGGATCTGGCACCTTAACTACCATGCCATTGGCTGGCCCTGCTGTGGGACTTTGATTACTCATCTACAAGATGGACATTTAAATTTTTTTTTCATTTAACTACGTTATTCATTTATTTATTCATTTGTTTATTTCAATTTGACCGGAGAGGGACAGACAGAAAGTGAGAAAGCAAGTTACCAGGTCTGGTCAAACCACAGTTGGCCATGTGGGAATCTAGCACCTTCAAGCACTACACCACCTGCCAGCCCCCAAAATGGAAATTTATTTATTCATTTATTTCTTGGAGAGGTTTTTGCTATAGGGCGTGTGCACTCGCTAAAAAGACAGAGAGACAGAAAGCAAGAAATCACCCCCCAGGGGGAATGGCCACCCTGCAATCCCTTCTCCTCCATTCTCCTCTCAGGATCTTGGACACGCACGCACACACGCACACACACCCAGCGTCAGTTTAAGCCACCAGGTCCAGGACTCGAACCGTGGTCGACTACATGGGAGTTCAGCAACATAGCCATTATACCAACTGCTAGTCCCCAAAATGGACATTCTTAAAATTTGTTTTTGGGGAGATATTTTAGCAAATTAGCCAAGAGAATAAGCAGTGCAATTAAGCAGTCAGCTACACCGTCACCAGCTATAAGGAGCTGCATGGCAGAGGTGTTTAAAATAGTCATCCCCTGGGCTGGCAGGTGGCATGGTGGGTACGGTGCTGGACTCCCACATGGCTATGGTTTGAATCCTGGACCTGGCAACTTGCTTTATCACTCTCCTTCTTTCTCTTTCTCCTCAAATTGAATAACAATCGAATAAAATTGAAGAATTATTTAATTTTATTTGTTATTATTATTTTTTAAAATTTGACCAGAGAGAGACAGAGAGAGAAAGGCAGAGTGAGTAAGCAAGCTTCCAGGTCTGGGATTTGAACTGTGGTTGGTCATGTATGAGTCCAGAACCTTAACCACCATGCCACTTCCCGTCCCCAAAATGAAATAATAATAATTATTATTTTTAAAAGTCATCCCTTGGCAGGCAAGTATTTAGCTGGCCATAGCCCCCGTAGAGGAGGCTGGGAAGCGCGCACTTTGCTAAAAAAAACTGCTCCCCCCCCCCCCCCCGTTGGCTTTCTGTTGCCGAAAAGGAAAAGCAAGCCTTCTACTGAAAAATACAGGAAAGTGAGGGGGGATACAACTCATCAGGGTTTTTTTTTTCTTAACTCAACTAATATATGCCCTTTTTTATAAAACAAAACAGGGCCAACAGATGGTGTGGAGGTTGAAGCAGCTGGGTCCCACATGGCCAACGCTGTGGTTCAAGTCCCAGACCTGGGGGCTTGAAAAACACACTAGGCACGTGTGCTGTTTTTACGTGTGCCCAAAATCCTGAGAGGAGAATGAAGGAGAGGGGGGGTGATTTCTCACTTTCCCTCTCAGCTCTCATCGATTTTTGTCTCTCTCCCCAGTGAGTGAAATGGGCTCTCAGGCAAAAATCTAAAAAAAAAAAAAAAAAAATGTAAAAAAAAAGCAAACAGTTAAAACAACCTATAAGCACTGGTGCCATTCTCAGACACTTCCTGGTGTGGAACAGAACCTCCTGCCTGGTGGCTTCCAGAACAGCCACACAGGATGCTGAGACGCAGCGCAGGAAGGAAGCCTCCCTACTCCTGCAGCCCGGGAACTGGGCATCGTTCTTGACATGCGTGCCCCAAGCCCCAGCCCGGCACCCTGTTTCTTTCCTTCCCTTTCCAGCTCCCCTTCCCAGTGGCCACAAAACAACTTTGGATTTCAGGGCCAGCAGTTAGCGTAATGGCTATGTCGCCGGATTCCCATGTAGTTGACCACGGTTTGCGTTCCAGACCTGGTGGCTTAAACTCACGCCGGGCGCATGTGCGCGCATGCCCAAGATCCCGAGAGGAGAATGGAGGAGAAGGGATTGCAACGTGGCCATCCCCCTGGGGATGATTTCTCTCTTTCTTTCTGTCTCTCTGTTTTTCTGGTGAGTGCACGTGTCCTATAGCAAAAACCTCTCAAAAACAAAAAACAACAACGAAAAAAACCTTCGGATGTTCTCGTACAGGTTAAGTATTCCTTATCCCAAAATGCTTGGGGCTAGAAGTGGTTCTGAATTTGTAGATTTTTTTGTGTGGATTTTGAAATAGTTACATATACATAACAAGATATCTTGGGAATAAGACCCAAATGTAAACATGAAATTTATTTGTGTTTTGCGTGCACCTTATGTGCTGTACGCAGCTTGAGGGTACTTTCCTGTGAGATGTATGTATTGCTGCGTTTGGACTGTCACTCGTCTCTTAAGGTCGGCTGTGGAATTTTCCACTTGGGGTTATGTTGGTGCTCCAGAAGTTTCAGATGGTGGAGCATTTTAGATCTCAGATTTTCAGATTAAGGATGCTCAACCCGAATATCACTATCTTTTTCATGCTTCAAGCAGCTCTGCATAAAGATTATTTTTATCTTTCCTTTAATTTTTACATAAGAGGTAGCCAGCCTGTTTTTCAGTGTTCTGCTCCTTGTTTTTTTCATTAACAATGTATCTTCGAAATCTTTCCACATCGGTATATAAGGGAGCTTCTTCAGACAGACATTTTTAATAAAGCCCAGTGGAGGCCGAGTGCTCTGAGACCATCTTATCTCGAGTCCTTAGAAGGGGGTCCAAGTCTGTTTGCAGGGGCCCGAGGACTCCTTGTGGCTTCTGGTAGATGATGGCAGAATCGCCTTCTGAGAGACGGTGGGGTCCATGGTTCTGGACGCATCCTCAGTTACACTGCTGATCACCTGGAGAAGGAGGTGGGCAGGCCTGGGTATATAAAGGAATGGGGTGGGAGGGAGGTGTTTTTAAAAAATTATGTCTCTTTTCATGTATTAAATTGTTTCTGGCCTGGAATGTCGAATACCTATTCAGGATGGAAGGGAGGATTTAGCGCCTGTTTTATTTACTTGCTCAAGTAAGTGGGAGAGCCTTAGGGGGGTGCAGCCCCTGGAGGCCTGGGTGCATGGGTGATGGGCAGGGTTACTGAGCCCGCTGAGAAGGTCCCCACAACTGTGTGTGATGCACACGGGCATTCTCAGTGGACAGGACCTGGGATCCTAAACAGTCTGCACTGGTCTGCCTCATTTTTAAAAAATTATTTTATTTATATTTATTTATCCATTCTAATTTTACTAGAGAGGGGGAAAGAGAGAGAGAGAGAAAGCAGGCCACCAGGTCCAGGACTTGAACTGCGGTTGACCATGTGGGAGTCCAGTGCCCTTAACCACCACGCCACCTGCTGGCCCCTTGTCTGCCTAGTTTTGCACGTGAGACTCAGAAAGCCCGAGGGCTGGTGACCCAGCAGGTCATGCATTAAGCCAAGGACAGGCCTGCCTGTAGGCATCCCTGCTCCCACAGTCCTCCTTGGTGTATCTGCTAAAAGTGGGAGCCTCGCTTGGAGGCACCAGGGTCCCCAGAGATCCCCAGTTCCAGACCTTCTCCCACCTGCACAGCAGGGATGTCTTGGGAAGGCAGCAGAGGCTCAGCTGGGCCACAGCCCCTGAGACCTGACCCCAGGGCTCGTGGTTCTACAGGCAGAGGCAAGTCCCTGTGCCTGATCCTGCCCTGACAGGGCTCAGTGGGGAGACACCCCTCCCCCCAGACTCTCTCCCAGTGTTTTCCACCCCGCTGTGTCTGATGCAGGTAACAGTAATGGCGCACTGTTCTGAAGCGCTCCTGGGTGACATGTAGAGTCCCAGTGTATTTAGTGCTTACAACAACTTGAGAGGAAAAGTATGTTGCTGTCCCCATTTCAGCTGTTTAAGAAACAGAGGTCGGGCCAGCCAGCCGCGTAGTAGTTAAGGCGGCTGGATCCCACGTGACCAACTGCATGGTTCTAGTCCCGGACCCAGTGGCTCAAAAAACAGGCCAGGTGTGTGTGTGCGAGTGCCCCCAAAATCCCAAGAAAGAATGGAGGAGAAGAGATTGCGATGTGGCATCATTCCTGAGGGGGTAGTTCCTCATTTTCCCTTTCTCTCTGTCTCTCTTGAGAGCACATATGCCCTATTCAAAAAAATTAAAAAAGAAAAAAATGAATAGGGGGGCCAGCAGGTGTTGTGGTAGTAACGTGCTCAACCCTCATATGAATGACTGGTTTGAGTCCTGGACCTGGCAGCTTGTTTTCTCTCTCTCGCTCTTTCTCTCTCTCTGTCAAATTAAACAATAATAATAATGAAATAGGACCAACGGGTGGTGTGGTGCTAAAGGTGCTGGAATTCCCACATGGCCGACCGTGGTTCGAGTCCTGGGCTTGGCGGCTTGCT